ATTTTTTAAAAAGCTATAAAACATAATAGACTTTAAAGGTATACTTTGTTCTTCATAGGAAGTGTCAATATCCCAAAGATGTCAGTTCCCCATAATTTATTTTATAAATGAATATAATCTCAATTAAAATGATTAGAAAAAAAAAGAGAAAGAATACAAGGTGGCGAGAGGCGCTATGCTGGCCCTGCGCCGCACAGAATTCAGCTGAGTGGCTGATGTGGATCCTCTTGATGCTCTCTCCTCCCCCAGACGCTCAAAAAGGTCAGACGCCTCTGGCACGTGCCATTAGCACACCAGGCAGGGAAGCTGATGGGGCCACAGGCGAGTCAGGGAAGTCTAGTGCAGTGCAGGACGCGGTAAGGATGGTGGGTGCCCTAGAAAGCTGTCTAGCGCTGGAGAGGAGGAGGGCAGGAGCAAGGGGGGAAGGGTGTGAGGAGGTGTGCTTATCAGCCCTGTGCTTATCAGGGTGACACACACACACACACACACCCGCTTTAGGGAGAGGGTGGCAGGCACACCTGAATGCAAGAGGCCTAGGGCTTTCTGGAAAGAACCGACTCTAGGCCGGCTGCATATATCACCGCTCCTGTTGGCATCTTTCAGAAAAGGTTGGCTGGAAGGCAGGTTGGCATTGTCCGCCACCCTTGAGAACGCATCCGCCCTTTGGCCCTGATAGTCCACATCTGATGTTTAGTCTGTCTGACGGCTCATAAAAGACGCAACAATCTATTGCAGTGTGTTTGCAATAATTAAAGACAAACAAACCAGCAAGGCCATCTAAGCAAACCAGGGCACATCCCCGCCAGGGCCAGCTAGGCAAATGCAGGAGGTGGCTTCTGCTGCATGGTTGAGCGAGGGGTAGGCCTGGGGGAAGTGTGCTCCTGAGTAAGAAAGGGGGGTGGGGGTGGGGGGGGACTGGCTTCTTGCTGTGCACGCCTTGGGGCTGCCTTTTGTTTTACACTACGCTCATGAATAGCTCTGGGAAAAACCTTAACGCAAACAATCGGTAACTGAATGCTGTCACCTCTTGCCCTCCTGCCCACACCACACCAAACAAATCACAGACGCCTGCCTAACAACGGAGTGTGGGGCCTGCTCCGTCTCCCCCCACTCGCTCCTGGGTCGCTTGGCTACAGAGCTATGAGGAAGAGCCCCAGACTCCCTCAGTGCGAGCGGCTGGGGGCCTGAGAAAGCAGGAACCAGACAGCCAGACAGCACCCAGGGGAGCCGCCAGCTCAGCTCCCCAGGACTCCAAGCACTCATAGAGACGGATGGTGCTCCCCACCCCACCAGACAGTGCTTGCCTTAGCGAGAGGACTAAGGGCCCTGTTCTCGGCTAGCTCTCAACCAAGTTCCCTGTTTCTGTTGTTGCTTTTCCCTAGGGATCGACATCATGATATTAATTTTCACTAAGATTTTAAAAATGCTCAATTTAACCACCAGAAGGCTGGGGGTGGGGGAGGTTGGTTTTACAAACAAAACCCAAGAAAACTTTTATGTAAATAACACAAAAAAGTCATTTGTAAAAGAGGTGGGATTTTTTTGGGGGGGGGCGGTATAAAGCTCTTTGTTAAAATTCCCCACAAAGTCTCTGGCCAGAGGATTCTGAGAAGTGGTCCTAGTTTGATCTCATAACTTGCAGGAGCATAAACCAAGTGTCAAACTGTGCTAGGCTTGTCCCGTCACTGGGCTCCCATGTGTCCATCCCCCCACCCTCACCCCCCAGGCTCTCCTCTGTCAATAATGTGCAGGAGTCTGATGCTGGGGTAAGAGCCGATGTGGGCTTCGGATGTTTGCTGTGCCATTCTCCCAAACCAGCCACGGAGGGCTGTCTGGGGGCCTAGTTGGGCCAAGGAAAGAGGGTCAGGGGGAGGGAGCGGCGTGGAGCAGGCTGGAGGCCAAGGAAGGGAGGCCAGGCCGGTTGGTTTTACCCAGGAAATCAACTCACATGATGGTAGACACAAGCCTGGGGGAACACCCACCAAGAACGGGTCATGAAGAAAGCAGTTGTGACAGGAAAATTGGAAAAACAAAAACCAACCCCCCTCCCAAAAAAAAATTTGGCCAATGAAGCACCACTGTGGCTTTTTATCGCATCTGGTGATTGTCGGTTTACAAACCAGTCTCCCACAATGAACCACAAAGCAGGGACCACCCAGGGCCCATCTCTGAAGCTAGCTCTTCTCCAGGAGGGAGGCAGAGGCCTTTCTCACTAGGGCCACCACCGCTGCACCCCTAAGGCTCTCGGGGGACAAACAACCGCAGCACTTGGAGGGCACTTACTCTGTGCCAGGCATGGCTCTAAGGGCTGCTATGACTGTGATGGGGGGGCTCACTCAATCCCAGCAGCTCTCAGGGTAGGTCCTAGTCTCTCTCCTTGCTCAAATGAAGACATGGACCTTCCGTGGGGCCCAGGAAGGTCAGCCGGGAGGCACAGCTGTTGCTGTGGCCGGGTGACCCCAGGCAGAGTAGAACCAACCACAGCCGGGGCCTGACCCATCGCAGAGCGCAGTTGGGAGGTTTTCATGGGCTCACTTTCGGAAGGTGAGCCAACAACAGGTCTTTCTCCCTGGTCTGAGTCTCCGAGTTGCACGGAGTGCCGTTCAGCATGCGAGCTTTCGCTGGCAGGCAGGCAGGCAGGTGGTGGGCTTCGAGATGCATGGACTGGAAAGAGAACCCGGGGCCCCTCCGCCCCGCAGGTGAGAATTCTACCACGGGCCCGCTGGCTGAATCAGGGCAGCCCACAGGTGCCAACGGGGAGGTGAGCCTGTGCAAGCTCACCCAAGCAGCGGTTTCCCGGTCAGAGTGAAGCCCACCCGCATCGGCGGCCCCCTTTGCAACAGTACTTGGCTTCTGCTCTTCCAGCTCTCTGGAGGCACATGCGCCCTGGCTGGCCCCTCATTTCAGCCCCGAGCTGGCGTCGTGGCCCGAAAGCACCGGTAGCTGCAGCCTGCTCGGGCCTTCGGGCCGCTTCTGTTTGGAGGGCCCCGGGGGGCCCCCCCGATTGGCACGGGCTCGGCCCACGGCTGGCGCTCCATGCAGAAACTATG